GAGCATTCATAAGCCAGACACGTCTCTGTTCTTCCGGTCCATCTATGCCAAAGAACCAGACAAGGCGAGCTTGGTCCCCTTCCTGGAGGCTGAGCACGCCGCTACCCTGACCGAGGACACTGAGCGTCCCCCGAGGCTTGCTCAGGTCGAGTACGACATCATCAGATCAACTGACCATGAGCATATTCGCTCTGTTGTCAACCTCGAGACGGAGCAACTTGTCTCTTCCGACTCGGCTGAAAACATCTCCAAGCCGTCATTTACCCAGTATTAGACACCCGCCTCTTGCGTCGGGATGATGCCCGTCATTTGGGAAGCCAAGCTGACTGTCTCTCAAACAGACCCGAGTTTATGCTCTTCCAAGATGTCTGCCTCCACGCGGACATGTTCAAGGAGGCCATGGCCGAGTTTACTCTTCCAGATGGGTTTAATATTACCATCGACCCTTGGCCATACGGAGGTCCAGACGAGTCAGACAGCCCGAGATATATGCAAGGCCTCGTCTTCGCCAGGGATTCTTCACATAATAATCTGGACGCCAACCACTACGCATATCCAATCCCCATCATTCCCGTGCTAGATTGGGTCACAAAGAAGCTGGTTAGAGTAGACCGCCTGGCCACTGGCGGAGCCGAGGACCGCCTCGAGCCACACCCTCGGTCGGAAGCACCTAGAATGCTGCTTGAGAGGAACAGATCGGCCGACTATGTGCCTGAACTCCTTGATCGCCCGCTACGCCAGGACCTGAAACCCATCCATATTTCTCAACCTGAGGGCGCCTCCTTCTCCGTGCACCCTGACGGCCTCGTGGAGTGGCAGAAGTGGCGATTCCGGCTCAGCTTCACCCCCCGCGAGGGTGCCGTCCTGCACGACATCTGCTACGACAACCGCCCCATCCTTTACCGTCTCAGCTACAGCGAGCTCACCGTCCCGTACGGCGACCCCCGGCCTCCGTACCATCGCAAGCAGGCATTTGACTTCGGCGACGGCGGTGCGGGGCGGGCCGCGAACAGTCTGGAGCTGGGATGCGATTGTCTAGGGGCGATTTACTATCTTGACTCGTTCCTCGCGGCAGCAGATGGGTCGCCGACGCCCGCCAAATCCGTCGTCTGTCTTCATGAGCAGGATAATGGTATCCTCTGGAAGCACACCAACTACAGGACGAGCCGGGGTGTGGTTGCCAGGCTGCGTGAGCTCGTCGTGCAGTTCGTCGTTACCCTGGCCAACTACGAATACATATTTGCCTTCAAGCTCGACCTCGCCGGCGGCATAACCATCGAGACAAGGGCCACCGGCATCATGAGCGTGGTCCCCATCGACAAGGGTAAATTAAGTAGGTACGGCAACGTTGTCGCGCCTGGCATACTGGCGCAGAACCATCAGCACATCTTCGCCGTGCGGATTGACCCGGCGGTGGATTCGTATCGGGCCGGGGATACCCAGGTCGTCGTTGAGGAGAGCCACGGGCGTAAGATGGAACCCCGGACGAACCCGCATGGCAACTACTACGAAGTGCAGCGGCGGGTGGTTGAAAGGGCGCAGTGGATTGACTCGGAGCCGCGACTAAACAGGACAGTGAGGCTGGAGAATAGTACGAAGAAGAATGAATTTTCCGGGAGGAATGTGGGTTACAAAGTCGTTTCGCCAGCTACGCAGCTGATGCTCGCGGACGAGGAGAGCATCTTGGCCAAGAGAGCGCCCTTTGCCAAGCACGATTTCTGGGTGACGGGGTATAGGGATGGCGAGTTTTGGGCTGCCGGCGAATTCACCAACCAGAGCCGGGAGGAGAAAGGTGGTGTTGGGGATATGGTGGCGCGAGGAGACTGGTTCACGAGCCTCGAGCCTGATGATGGAGAGATCCAAGGGGAAGCGGCTCAAAAGGCCGGCCCGGTTGTATGGAGCGTGTTCGGGTTTACCCATAACCCCCGTGTTGAGGACTGGCCTGTCATGTAAGTTTGATGAGACATGAGTGTGGCTGTTGTTGAGATACAAGCTGACTACGATGTGCACACAGGCCTGTTGAGATCCACCAAATGCACCTTCGCCCAGCAGACTTCTTTACTTCCAACCCAGCACTTGACGTCCCTACCGCGAGGAACAACATGAGTGTTCTAGTTCCATGTTGCGGTAATGGAAGTACTAAACAGGAGCCGAACGTCGGGGCTGTTCAAGGAGACCCTCTCAGCCACTTGCAGGGTACCGGCCCAGATGTCAGCGCCCAGGAGGCTGGTGCTAATGTGGAAGAATAGGATGGAGGCCAAGGGAATATCACGGGGAGGCTGAGCCTAGCGTTGGTGGGGCATTTGCGCAGGAAGGGTGACTTCAAGAATCTCTGGTTAACTTTGTTTGGCAAGCACTGTCTGAGGTTTTTATGATGATTAAGAAGTGACATGATATATGCTAGCAATATAGTTTGTAATGGCTAATATTGGTTCGAGAAAATTGCCTGGTGAGTTCATTCGAAGAACGGTTCGATCAAGAAAGATTATATTGGAATGACATTAGATGATATCGAGTAGTATCATTTTGCGGCATATGCCACGAGGTATTCTGATAGGTGTGACGGATTAATATTACGGGAAGAAACCTGTGGTAAAGAAGAAGGTTCACTTTATGTACCTGGGACCAAATAGTGTTAAGCCACGCCTGTATCCTAGCTTCCTCCCTATCGGCAACACTCAGCTCTGACTATACAGACTACTGCTAATTGTAGAGGTTTAAGCTATCTACAGATCGGGTCTCAAGGCAGCCCTCGCTTCAAGGTTAGAGGCTTCCTCATGTATATCGACTTATCTTCGATCATATGTTTAATGCAGAAAACAAAGAGCCGCTCATGAATTTTAATGGCCACTCTAACAAAATTATATCTGGATGAGTATACTAAATATAACTTAACAACGAAGGATAAGCTACCTGCTAATAGGAAATAGAAAATTGGGTTCGAATTCCCCCTCTTCCAGGACCCTAATCATACACTCTAAATACTGCTACTTTCTCGACCGGCTAATTACATGCATTGATCAGGGTGTATCTTTAACTTGCCCTCGGGAATATTTTCTAAGGTTTTCCAAGTTAATTGAATGAGTCCCTAGGCTATCAGCCCGTAGAGATTATTTTGATAAAGTAGTGATAGTATATAAGAAGTAAGAGGGGAAAATCGTTTATTGGATAGTAAAAGAAGTTATGCCATAACTTAGGGAAGCGAAGTGAAGCAGAGTCCCAACGTTTATTCAAGTCCGGTTTAGTCCTAGCTTAATTCGAGCACGAACCTGACTCAGATTACATAATTATTGCTTATTATGAGCCACATAATTCGAGTAGACATTGGTGTGGTTAAATGGGAGTTACCCGTAATATCATCCCATTCCAACCAACCCCCCAGGGAAGATAGCACCCACTTCATTCTTGGACTGGGGAAACCGCTGCCATGGCTGGGTTTGGATTCTTTCGTTACGTCTATCTCAAGGCACTGGTAACATTCATCCGTTCCGTTGTATTACTTCGGGACAGGTTCTCACCCAGGGTACCAGACCCGACCAAATGGCGCCAAATCCGCATCCCAACTCGTGATTCTGGCCGATTCATCGAGGGCCGCGCGTATGGGCCACAGCCCCAGACATCCAACGGAAAGCTCCCGGTTCTCATCAATTGGCATGGCAGTGGTTTCGTAATTCCCATGTTGGGCACCGACCACGCATTTTGTTCTCGCGTTGCTCGCGATACTGGCTTTCTAGTACTGGACGTGGATTACCGCAAGGCTCCGGAGAGTCCATACCCGGGCCCTATCGACGATGTGGAGGACACTCTGAGGTGGATGGCGAGCGAGGACCAGAAGGAGTTGCTCGGCGCCGACGTCAACCAAGTGGCCGTCTCCGGCTTCAGCGCGGGCGGCAATCTTGCGCTTGTAGCTGCATCATCGGTGCGGCATGATGTCCAGGGGATAAATGTGCCTCTCGCCCTTGCGTTCTATCCCGTGACTGATATTTCCATCAACCCTGACGAGAAGACGGCACCGAACCCGATCATGCCCATCCCTCACTGGCTTGCCAGGCTTTTCAACGATTGTTATGTGCCAGACGAAACCACCAGAACCAACCCGCGTGTCTCACCAGGTCTGGCTGATCCGTCTTCTTACCCGGATACCGTGCTCATCTTCACTTGTGATGGCGACAACCTATCTCCAGAAGCAAATGATTTAGCTGCTAGGATCGATGCTGCTGATGGCGGGAGAAGAACGGTCATTCATCGGTGTCTTCCAGGAGTTCCCCATGGATGGGATAAAGCATGTAAGGAGGGTACAAATGCCTGGGCGCAGAGGGAAGTTGCGTATTCTTTGGCAGTGGAAACTATCAAGGAGTCATTGAGGAGTCGAGGTTAGACCTTTCGGTTGGAGTGAGGAGTGATATATTGGTGAACTAGGTACTTTCAATATCTAAACTTCTGGATATATGGAAGGCAAAGGAGTATTGTTTCTAGCAAATTCTTAGAATCACCATTTGGCTTCCAACTCTTGCCACTTACGGGTTGTAATTGTAAATAAATTGTGTGTCTAATCGTGAAACCTCGTCGCAAGACATCCATGCGACACGAATGATTATAAGATTTAACTTACGAATGAGGAAACGCATCTTAGAGGGAAAGTTGAATATAGGCTGCCGAGGTTGACTTACTATATAGTTTATCTTGGCTAACCGATAGAGAAGTCTAACAAGTTAAACACACTAAGGTATAACCAACTATGTCTATAAGGCTCCTACAAATAAAGTTTGTTGCTTCCTAGTTTCCTGAACTCCTTCACCTTGAAGTATGTCTACCCGCAACGAAATTAAGATTCATGAAGTAAGAGTATTTCACAACACAGTATCAACAAGCATCGATTTCAAAATTGTATTGTTATTCATCTTATCGTTATCCAGCAACGCTGAGAGCAGAGAATTCCCCAGGTAAGTCCGTAGAGTATCGAAAGGGAATTGTGATTTTTCACACGATAGTTGATTTCTTTAGTTGCTGTTTCCACTTGGGGGTATGATATCCGAAGCTTCCCCCAAATCCTCCTTCAACGCCTGGCCGTTCACCATCACCGGGCCAGAGTCCTGCAGGACAAAGAGCATGCGGGCCCATTCAGTCTGGCTGGGATTATGCCAGGAGTGTATAGTGCCTCTCTGCACAGCTACATCGCCGGGATAGAGGAGCCTCTTCTCCCCGGCGTCAAGCTCAAGTTCGACGGTGCCAGAGATGACAACACCGTAATCCAAGCTTTGCGTGCGGTGCATCACAGGATTGTTGTCAGGTGCGAAATCTACGATGCGGCACACGGTCCCTTTGGGATTGACCAGGCCAAGGTTTCCTGTCGCCATCAGAGCATCGTGCTTGGCAATGTCGTTGTCGTTGTCGAATGAAGCGGGGAACTCGGAGGTGGTGTACACCACGTTGAAGGCCATGGATTCCTTATCTGGAGAGTCCCATACTGCAGGGCGCGTCTCTTGGAAGATCGCAGTCCCATTCAAAGGACTATGTCCAGTCACATACGTGGTGACGGGGCGTAGATTGGAGATTTGTTTGGACATGGTGAATAGATTTGATAGTGCGCGAAATGAAGGTTTCGACAACAGCCCAATAACTATTATTTTCAGCCAAGACGGAGGTTCGAAGAAATATAAATCCAGAATTAGGCCCACCCCGAAGACCGATAAGCCACCTCATCAGTACTACGATGCTTGAACAACTCCCTGCCGCTGAAGGGATTGCTGGCTGGACAACACGGCCACCATCTAATATAGATGTTTTATTAACTGGAGAGACATGTTTCAGAGAGTGGGGGGACCTGAACATACTAATACTATAAGAATTGCATTGCTTGTACCTCAGTGCCTAAGTGTTCAAAGTCTTATTTGGTGTAAGGGTTTGTACATGACGAATACATGCGAGAGATGTAGAGATATCTCAATTTCAGGTCTTTGTACAGGTATTTGATTCATGCCAGAATCATAATGCAAAAATGTGCTAACTAATACCATTGCCCTAACTCAAGCTTCAAGCCGTATGACCACGATAACCAAAGAATCGAGTTCCAAAAATACTTTCACGAGGATCTAGGACATTTTATGTTCTGCATTGAAGGTGATCAATGTGTGACCCCTACTGCAACTCACTAGTCCTTGCTTCAGCAGCCGTGATCCATTCCTTCAGTCGGGATTCCGACCGGATCTTGAGGCCAATCTTGAATAGCTTCGGCTCTGTAGTCAGTGCTGTTGGATTGGAGCTGCATTCAATCGCATCCATGAGCGGTCGATCTGCGGGGTCGCGAGCTGGATGAATTTCGAAGGCTGTGATGAGGCGCATGTATGCCGTATACAGCTCCCTGTTACCCAAGTGGGATCCTGCACACATACGAGAACCTGCACCGTACGCGTAGTGAGGTGTACCGCTCTCGGTGTCGTTTAGGAAACGTTCCGGGATGAACTTGTATGGGTCCTTGAAACGTTTCTCATCGTAATCTGCCGCATATGCGTTCTATTAAGATGAGAAGAAGGATATTAGTTACTGTGGATTACCGAACGGATTTATGAAACTGGTAGTTGCTCAAACTTACCATGAAGAATGTTGTACCCGCAGGGATCACAGCGCCCTCATACGGAATGTCTTTAATGCTGGTGCGAGGCAGGCAAATGGGGATGACTGTCCAGAACCGAAGCGTCTCCTTGACGAGGGCAGTGATGTATGGGACCTTCTCCTCAACGAGGCACTTCTCCCATGCCTCACCGTCTGGGTACACCTTTTCTATTTCCTCCAGGGCCCTTGCTTGAACCGCCTGACCTTCAGGGGAAGAGAGAAAAGCGAGACCCATGACTAAGTTCACAGGAACAGTGTCAAGTCCCGCAGAGACCATGGTCAAGCAGATCGACTTGATTTCGGCTATGTAGCAACGTTAATAACATTAGTACCAGATTGGACGAGTTTTCGGAACAGCTAGGTAATTACCTTCGTTCAGCTTAGCCTCAGGATCCTTAAGAATGTTGCCCGTAATGCAAGGCTTGTCTATCCCTGCAGCAATCTGTCCTTTGAGCTCATTGAGCAGTTTGGTGAGGTAGGCATCTCGTCTCAAGCGGAACGACTCCGCCTCGGTGTTTTGCTTATTCCAGAGCCTCATGATCGGAACATAGTCTTGCCAGTTGTTGCTTGTCGACCGGAAATTGGAAACCCCACGCTCCACCTGCGTGATCTCCTGAAGCATCTCGTTGTTGATGTTTCCATCGATGCGGATACCGTAGTTGAGGGTCAAGGAGGTGTTGAGTGCGAACCGGGCAAAGTACGGGGAAGGATCGACGTCGACGGCGCCACCTTTGCAATCGGCCGCCAGCTCCTTGATACTCACTGTAGACTCAAGGTCGAGGATGGGCATGTAGGACTGGACAGAGGGCCTGTTGAGCGCGGTGGCTGCCGCTTTGCGACGGGCCTTGCATGAGTCGTCCCAGGGAGATGTGCCGATGGTGAAGCCCTGGGAGGACGAGACTACGGAATGAAATGTATGGAAGGTCGGGCGCGAGATCAAGGCCGACTGGTGCGTGATCCAAAAATGCCTGACTGATTCGTAAGAGTTGACAAAGATGACCCTCTGCGAAAGATTTGTTAGCCATTGGCGCTCAATGCGATTGAATGAATGGACCATACCTTGTTACCAAGTCGTGTTTGAAAGACCGGGCCGTATTTTTGTGCCCATTTCTGAGCTACACGGGCGTGATCTGTACCCAGATGCCATAAGTTTCCCAGTATGGGCAATCCAGGAATCTCAGGGAGACCCTTGATTTTGGGTATATCGGTTGTGTTGAGCAGCCTGACGAGCAGGAATAGCACAGCAACAACAGCAATCCCAATGACTTGGTACGACATTTTGAATATTCGTGCAATTCGCAACACAGGAAGGGAAAAGAGCACAGTGGTAAGAGAACTTGGAGGTAGAGTTCCAAACGAGAAGCAGACCTGGGGAGGGGGAACCAGTCATATTTAGCTAATTAGGATTGCAATGTAACTTTTATTATCCCAGAGAACAGCCGTCTAGAACGAGAGCGTATTACGCTCAAGCCAGTCATCTGCCACCACTGGATGTCAAATGCCACCTCAGTCATCGAGCTCGATGCGCGGGGACCCCTGGAAAGTTGGAGCGTGCGGGGTGGTGTCCGAATCCGTGAATCCGTGTCGATTCCGATTCCAGTTGATTCCGGCCGTTGGAGCTATGACATCAGTGGGTTGTCAATTCGCCAGCTGAACGGAACTCAAAAAGAAAGCATTCCTGCCTGTAGAGTATGATCCTGTTCGATTATGTTAGAGTCTCTCTCTACCCAGTAGTGAGTCTCCCATTGCTAAGCTTGCTCTTGAACGGAACCCAATAGCTGGTGAGTTAGTTGATAGTTTCTCAGATAGATACATGGACATAAGAGTAGCCGAATCTAAGCGAGGTTCTCCCTAGCGCAGGGATCGCAGGTAATTGCGCGATGATTGATTCGCCAGAGGCTTCCGTAGACCCCCGCCTTCCCCAGATCGGTAAATCCGGGGCGTGCATTGACGCTCTACGTGTGTCTATCCGTCTCTCCATCTCCACCGGCGGAACGCGGGGCGGTTGGGGATCGATCACTCATCCTTGGCCAAGTGATTTTTGTTCAGCTGGAACGTAAAAAGGCATTAGACACAGATTGAATTCACAATTGGCTCGGCAGTCATGCCCAATATTCGCAAGAGGCGGTTTCCATACACAACGGTCGCGTGGTGAGTCCATCCATCCTGCTTCCCCTGAGAGCGGACCGAGCGGGACTGATGAGGTTTTACTGCGCAGCGGCAATTGCCAGCGACGGAAGACAAAGTGCAGCGGCGAGAAGCCATGCAAGTCCTGCAACGACAGCGGAGTCAACTGCGTCTATGAGCGAAGCTCGCGGTTTCGATCTGGCTCAAGCTCTGGCTCCCGCCCATGCCTCATAACCACCAGCGGCCGGCGTGGCCGTGAGAAATCACTCACACAGCCCCCGCAGCCCAGCAGTTCAGATTACTATTTGCGCCTGGCAGAGAAGCGCCTGATTGCCCTGAGCCCAGAGCAGAGCGATTCAAGACAGGACTGCCCGCTTGAGGTACATAGCGTTGGCACCTCTTCTGTGAGGCGGCTCGTTGAGCACCGCCGCAAAGGCTCACCAGGGGGTGTTCTGGCCGTGTTTGATACACGGACCTGGGTGAATATTCTCCGAAAGTATAATGAAGAAGTCGGGTTACAATACCCTTTCGTTGATCTGGATGAGTTAAAACGGGATATTTGCAACCTGGCAACGTCCCCGTCAAGTCGCCATGAGCGGCAAAATGAGGAAGCGGAAATGGCAGCGGCACAGGGCCTCAACCAGTTCCATCCTGAGTCGCCCAATGAGCAGATATGCATACTCATTCTGACCATAATAGCCACTCTGGCCGAGTACGACGCCACCAAGTTGGCCAATCCCATTGTGGAAGATGTCTTCAAAGACGTCGCGATCAAAACGCAACTCAAAAGCGTCAACGAATCGGATTTATCGCTCCTGATTTTAATTGTTAGTCCACCAGCCCTGTTTACCTACCCCTAAGAGTACAAGCACTAATTCTAGAATTCGGTAAGAGTATTTATTTCTTCCTTAGTGATCGGGAAATTCTCGCATGGCGAGGGATCGGAAATGCTCTCAGATTGATCCAGGAGCTGAACTCGACCAATCGCGAATCATCCAGTGCATTCCCACTATCGTCAAGCCAGTCTAGTCAAGTGAGCGAGAAGCTTTTCTGGTCTGCGTATACATTGGACAGGCGTTGGAGCTTTGGAACCAACCTTCCATTCGCAATCCAGGATTCGGATATTCACAGTGTACCTAGATTCGAAGTAAGTATCCATGCTGACCTTTCTTTTGCATTCAAGCAGGCAGTTTTGCTTACCACAGATATCTTCAAATGAAACAGGACGGATCATTATCGTCAGTGTATATGAGACAGATGATATTATTCTGTGGCATTGCCTCAGAGGTCCGTAACTGGCTGGCACCTAACCACGGTCATGGTGCGGTAAAGTCACCTCTTCTTACAGGAGACTCAACCTGCGACTTTCTCAACTTCAGAGTTATCCAATGGCAACAGAACTTACCGGAATGCATCAGGTTTATGGGTATCCAAGAAAGTTTCGACTCAAAAAGAGAGAACAGGGGAGAGTATAAGCTGCGTCTCACGGTATATTTGAGAGCCAACCTGATGCGGACCGTAATCTACCGGAAGTGGGCGTCGCGAACAGACCTCAGCAGCCATACCACAACTGCAAACACAATGAGAGAGATTGCCCAAGACACAGTTCGAGTGTTGGTCAAACTCGCTCGTGAAACAGACATATACCGATCCCAACAGCGTACCTTTAATCACTTTCTCGAAACAGCACTCTCATCATTATTACTGACGCTATGCTCTGCCGAGAGCATTGGATCCCGGAATAGAGGCAGTGTCAACAATCCTACAAGAAGATCCTGCCTACACGATATTCGGTCAGCCATGGAGCTCGTGGCGCAGTTATCCGTGACATCCCCCATCACACTTCGACTTCAAGAGAAATTGAAAGGGATTAGAGGTGTCCTCGAAGAGATTGAGGCTCGGGACTATGCTTCTCCCTGTGATAGCACAACTATCCAGAATCGCTGGGATCTTTCAGAAGCAGACGATCTGGAACATTCAACAACCCAAGGGGGAGATCTTCACCCACCCGCCTTGAATAGCCCGGAGGGATCTCAAGCCGCCCGTCTACCTGATGGTAGAACACCACGGACAGTCAGAACTCCTCAGCCTCCATCTTTGGAATCGCTATTTACAAGCGTTGGAGACTATGAAAGCATGTCTAACCCTGCTATACGGCCGGTCAGTTTGAAGGGGCCAGCAGAAGACGAACAAGGCGGTGATCAAATTGAGCAACGCGTGGGTTGGCTACCCTCTGACATGTATACACCACAGGCGATGGATTGTGCTATTGACGATTTCTATCTGCAGCGATACCCCGAACTGGGGGATATGTTGAAAGACTATGAGAGTTTCACCTTCTAGTATAGTGCTCGGAATAAGTCTAGTTGATTTATGTACCACTGATAATTGATACTCACCACCTTTTTAATAGACTCAAAGATATCTGAACATGTCTGGAACTTGATACTAACAGTCTTCCACGAAATCTTTCAGCCTTAGAAAGCTGTAGGAAACCGTCGGGTGCGTGAGAAAGATGCCAGTTGAGCGCACTCTGGTAGTGGCCGACGGGTCTGACTGTATCATCTCCTATAGTCTCAACCGTACATGAAGATGTACCTGACCTTGTTTTCGACCTTTTTATGTACATTCCACTCTTGCCATTCTTATTGAATCGCTCTTCCAGCCACGGTAACAACCAGATTTGCTGAGTAGCATAACTGGTTGCGACATGATCAACAACCCCCGCTACAGACATCTCACCCAACAACCATCGAGAAGCATGGCAGGTTATATATTTAATGAGTGCTTTATTCAATGCAAGGCTATCCCAAATCAAGACCAAAAATATGGCAATAATTACTGGAGAATGAAAAGATCATGGTCCGCAGTGATTCGGGCTTCTATGTAGATGCTGATTGAGGAGTGAATATGGCGCTCCATGCTCACAGTGTGAGCCCTCAATTCCCGATAGGGACTGTAGGTGCGACCCCTGTCTTATTCAATCGTCCAATCATCATGCTTTTCGATTATATTCTAGGACTCTCTACTTGCACATTGAATCGAAGATTGTCAGTCTCTAATTCACTGCATCTGTCACCTTCTATCTCACCGTCAAATGAAAGGCCAGGGGTCGTCTGAGTGAGTATAAGAATATTCTTGCGCGCCTAGCCATTAGCCAAGCATTAGCCAAGCATGTCTCTGTTCGAATTAGTCAGAAAAGGACGTGAAGCGTAGTTCTAATACGAATATGGTCCCTCTTCATGGCTTTTATTCATTTTGTTTGCCATAGGATGGAAACTACCCTTCCTGTCATTGACTCCTCAACTATATCCTCGAAAAACCAATTCTACAGCTATTAGCCTCTACCTATAGGATACTATGTATGGAACTCCTCCCTAAACTTATTTGATATATATCTTAGCTTTCAGCGGTAAAAAAATAGTCACCAAATATGGTGTTATGTTTCAGAGGAGGGGATATGGGATGCGAATATTGATTTCTAAGAAATTAAATGTTTCATCAATTATTCAAGCCTCTCACAGGCGTCCACCCAGAACTATGGGGCTACAGTAAATACTACGCGGCTTTGATGTCTCAGCTCTTCAAGTTGAGGGTCCCTTTGGCCACCCCCTGGTATCAAATTGGCCACCCCGACAGCTTTGATAAAGACATCCGTGAGAGTCTTCGACCGATAGGTATCTGTGTGCTAAGGGCTTCTTATAGGAGCCCTAACATGCTGATGTGATGACAACGCAGGTGATGAGCGAGCATATTAAAAAAACTGAAGTTTAAATAAGATTCGCAATTTCCACTTGGACTATTCTCAGCCTATGGGAACGTGTATGTTAAAGACAAAGTGGCGCTTAGTTCTGTAAATTAATATGAACGAACCATTACATATCATTAGACATTTCTTTTCGCTCTATGGTGCTGATACTGTTATTGACAAGCCTCGGTGCATGTATTTTGAACCTTAGGTAGGCAAATCTATGGAGATCTCTCTTTACTTTATAGATCAACCCAGACGACTTATATTAGCGTCTTGTGTCTTCTTCTCGCCTTATCCTCTTACATACAGTACCACTATTCCCGGATTCGAGTTCATAAAGAATAATTCGAAGTATTATACCTAACTAATAGTCTCTAAGAGCTTACTCCTGTCATAAGCGACCTACACCTGCACCAGCGCTGACACTGGATCAAGACATGAAACGGAATCTGAGAATGACTTATTTTGCTGCAATCATTAAAGGTGATAGTCTGGGCGTATTTTCCAGAGTCTCGTCAGAATCTTCAGGATCGGCCGTTTCAAACTTGATACCATGACACCCTGGGTCTTGCGCAATCTTGGCGTCCTTTGGAAGCACCCATGCCATTTCTCTACCCCTTAGCGCTGTAGCCAGCCCAGGACTCTTATCCCGTTACAGCAGAATGGGAATATAATCATCTTGTCTAGAATGGTCTAAGAGAAATTTCTGGTTTTATTTTCAGTCTATTTTTACCCTCTTCTGATTACACTATTTCTCTTGGTAATCGGCAGAATTAGATAACCATCTCTTGGAATCCAGGATTGGGCACTGATGCTCTCGTAAATGATCTGTCGACTGCCTAGATACGTACGAGTGCCAGATGGCAGGGGTGCTGGTCCTGTGATGAGCGATGTCGGACTGGAGGTTCTCAGGAGCGTCTTTATTGCCATCCGATGCAAGCATGCTCTGTTGATCTTAGCTCAGGAATATCCGCCAAAATGGTTCTCCTGCATGATGAATTAGTGGCCAAAGAAGGGAGAGAAGAGGGAATATTGAATGATAACAGATTGTGGCACACACCGTCAGTTGGTCTTGGGGCGGTCAGTCAGTTTTCAATTGAAGCCATCACTGAAGCGGGTTGCTTAGTGGAGCTGTGCAGGGCTCGACGGGGACCGACCAGGTATCGATGCATGACGGTACACATTTAGGCTCCGCGGCGCTGGAACATGGCAGATCCGGCCCCCGAGTCCCCTGAATCAGCATGGCCGAGCCCCCTAAGCGATCTCTCCCGCCCCTGTAGATGGCTTGATAGGGGTGAAGGTCCCCACCCTACCCTGGATCTCCCGACGCAGCCCAGATTAGGTCACCTGCCAGCCCGACTTATCATCGAGGCGCCACCCGCCGCTCTCTCCGTTTAAATCCCCCGGCCCATCATGTTTGTTGCGAACAGACTGTCTCGCGTCTGAACACACCCGGATTGATCACGCTGAGCAGGATGTCCATAAGGGACAGGGTGGAGGGCGATTACTACGACCTTGGAGGCTTCCATCGCCCGGTGACGACTTCCAGCGTCGAAGCCCAAACATGGTTTGACCGTGGCTTGATTTGGTCGTACGGCTTCAACCACGAAGAGTCGGCCAAATGCTTCCAGCGAGCAATTACTGCCGACCCCGAGTGCGCCATGGCATACTGGGGCCTGGCCTACGCTCTGGGTCCCAATTACAACAAGCCCTGGAAGTTGTTTACCGAGGCTGAGCGGCTCGACACCGTAGCGAAAACACACCGCGCGGTAGCCATGGCCAGAGCAAGAGCACCCAGAGCTGGTCCTGTTGAACAGGCTCTCATCAACGCTCTCAGCTTCCGGTATCCTGGAGACCAACAGCCCACCAAGATCAACTGCTCTGTGTGGAGCAGAGAATATGCGAACGCCATGGGAACTGTCTACGCAGGCTTTCCCGACGACCCGGATGTCGCAACGCTCTACGCAGATGCTATGATGAATCTCACTCCCTGGCAATTATGGGATCTTCCAACTGGAGAACCTGCCCCAGGAGCTCGTACATTAGAAACGAAGCGAGTCTTGGAACATGCATTGTCTCTCGACGCTGGGTATCGCCACCCTGGTGTGCTTCATCTTTACATTCATCTTATGGAAATGTCCAAGGAGCCTGAAACTGCCATGCCGCCCGCAAACAGATTGCGAGGCCTCATCCCTGACTCCGGACACCTGAATCATATGCCTTCCCACTTGGATATCCTCGTAGGAGACTATGCTCAAGCAGTAATTGCCAATACCGACGCTATCCGAGCAGATGAACTTTTCCTGTCCCGCGAAGGCCCTTTGAATTTCTACACCTTATACCGAAGCCACGACTACCACTTTCGACTCTACGCTGCCATGTTTTCTGGTCAATCCCGCATCGCTTTTGAGACCGTGTCAATGCTCGAGGCTACCATCTCCAAAGAGCTCCTCCAGATTGAGATGCCTCCTATGGCCGACTGGCTTGAGAGCTTTTTGGCAATGCGCCTTCACGCGTACATTAGGTTCGGGCGATGGAAGGACATCATTAGTTTCCCATTCCCAAGCGACCCTGTGCTTTACTGCGTAACTACTGCGTTGACGCATTACGCCAAGGGAATGGCGTATGCTGCTCTCAACATGATCCAAGATGCCGAGAACCAGCGCGACGAGTTTCTCAAAGCTGTTCCCCGCGTAAGCCCCAACCGCACCCTATTCAACAACCAGTGCGTCGATATCCTTGGCGTCGCGCAATCTCTTTTGGACGGCGAGCTTGAGTACCGTCGGGCAAACTATGAGGTCGCTTTTGCACGCCTGCGAGAGTCCATCCTAAAGTACGACGATCTGCCGTTCGACGAGCCGTGGGGTTGGATGCAGCCGACCCGGCACGCCTATGGTGCTCTTCTTCTAGAACAGAATCACATCGAAGATGCCCTCGCAGTGTACAAGGCCGATCTGGGACTGGATGACACGCTATCACGAACACATAGGCACCCAAACAACGTCTGGGCCTTGCACGGGTACCACGAGTGCTTGGTAAGACTTGGTCGAGAAGATGAAGCAAGGGAGATTCGGCCGAACTTGGATGCTGCTCTGGCTGTAGCCGATGTGCCTATCCGCTCGTCCTGCTTCTGTAGGATGAGAACCTTCAAACTATGAGAGTAGTCATTGCGGGAGTGACGGCCACCTGGAACAGATTACATAAGTACTGTTTAGATGTACATTGATTATATGTCGTTTACGAAGCGGTAACTTTAGCAGAATGGAATTGATTTAATGCATGATTAATACCAAGCACTGTGAATGATCAACAGGTACGAGGACGGCCTCGATCTTCTACCGGTTTGTGACCGCGTTGCCAAACAGTTCAATGTCGTCTTTTATGCTACTAGATTGTTGTGCTGGCGAATCAGAGTCGAACCCAGTAGTTTAGAAAAGGCGAGAGACCTGCAAGAGAGACCTGAAAAGCCTACTGATACTCTTCGTGGTCTAGGTCGGACGTTTCGCAGTTAGCTCCAGTTCATTCAACTCTGGCTCGCTCTATAAAACTGTGATTTCCTCCCACTCCGAGCCTTTGGCCCTGGATATATCAG